TAGCTGAGAAACCTCCCAAGGGAGGTGGGCTTCCCCTCAGCTCCCCCTTCATCAGGAGGCAGCTGATCAGCTCCCTCCTCTCACACCCAACGTGTGCAGCTCCGGGGCTGATGTTGGCATGGCTGAGTCCCTGTGCTGCGGCAGAGTCCTCCAGGCATCGGGTGGACCTCAAGGACAGGACCGCGAACCAGGCAGTTACTCCCTGCCTGTTTTTCGGAGATGAGACTCGGTGGATGCACCAGAGGTGGAGCCTGGCATCTCCTGCAGGGTGCAACAGAGTGTCTGGAGAGGAAGGAAGGTGCAAATGAAGGGATGCAGAACAGAGAGGGAGTCTGGTGTCTCTGCAACACACCAGAGATGTGGCATCAAGGCAGAGCCCTCCAGCTCTCTTACTGCCAGGCATTTTCCTTCCCCTGCCCTCCTACGAGCACAGCACCATGAAGCATGGATCCAAAAGTGGCAGGTATTGCAGCTTTTATAGATAAGGTCTTGGATGTTACTCTATTCTCTTCCCATGTCCAAGAGGACATTTCCAATCTTATGCCTAATGTTTCCAGGTCCTGCACAAGAGCAAAGCTTGCTCTGATGGTCCTACTCACAGAGCAGTTGTCACCACATGGAGCATTTTGCATCAGGTCTTTCTGCTATTCCACCACAAGCCATCTCACAGACACATGCAGGTGACAGGGATCTGAGATTGCTCTACGAGCCACCATTGGGAAAAGGTGAGGGAGGTTATGAAACCCACACTTGCTGCACAGGAGTAATAAGGCTGCTCTTTGCTCATGCACACTCTTCCCTGCTGATCCCCTGTTCCTGGATATCAGAGCTGGTGGTGTCTAGTTCATTAGCCAGGGGCTGGTGTGGTTTCACGAACATCCTGGGCTTCAGCCCTCCCGAGATGCAGCACTTGGTGAGCATTTCTCTTGAGCTGCACACAAGATGTGTGAGGCTGACACGTCCTCGGTGAGATTTGGGACGACCCAGATGCTTGAGGTTGTCTCCATGCTTAATGATTTGGTCTACCTTTGAGTGATTAGGAGACCTCTCCTTTGTGACCTTGGGCTTTGAAAGTACCTTGAAGGTTATGACCTGATTTACCGGCTCCAAGCATCCGTGTGGACATGCAGTTCTCCTGCACATCACGTCAACCCCTCTGCTCCCCAGGCAGAAGAATCATTCCTAACATGAGAGGCTGCTTCACAGCCTACGGCACAAGGGTTCTTGGAGCAGGACGTGAAGGAGAGCCAGGAGGATGATGAGTTCAGGCTGTGGGACAGGGCTATAACTGAGTATGTCTCCTTCCTCCACCTGCACAGGGCGTGCAGCTGACCTCAACACTAGTAAAATTAAAAAAGGCAGTCAACTTAACAGAATACCCAGGGATCTACATCATGGTATAATTTCTCATTTAATTCCTTCCTGAGCACATCACTTGTGATGTGGGCACATAAATACAGAGGGAAATATCCTTCTGAAAAAGACATGTAAAGGATGGTCACGCCATTGCCCTCATTTTGTCGAGAAGCATGCTACAAGAAGCCCTACCTGAAGATGGAAACACTGCTGGTTTGCCTTGCAGTCTACTCTGTCAAACACAGGTGGGCTGCCAGCCTTCTCAGCGTTAGCTCGTAAGTGGAAAAAACGTTTTAAACATTGACCTTATACTAATCATCACGAAGCACAAACAAAATTTTGCATGAGCTACTGCCTCTTTAGGTGAGTTTTATAATCAATATAGCAGAAAATAAATAAACCCTTCAACAAATCATTATATGACAGATTTAGGCATACTTCTTTTCTAATGGATGAACACAGGACATAAGAAATACATTGACCTGTATCCATCTCAAAAGAAGGAGACAAAATGGACATAAGCTTTAGGACAGCCTCTGTTCTTTGTTCAAGAAACTTCAGAAGAATAAAAGATTGGAAGTTTTAATTAAATTTATTTTTTAAAAAGGCAAGGCAGTGGTTCTGTCTCTATGACTTATTTTGCATAGTAAGTTCCTAAATAATCTGCATTGACACACGCTGCTGCACTGTAGAGAACAGCAAAGCAGCAAGGAAGCAGGAGGTTTTGATTTTTGGACAGGTGCCCCGGTAGATAGGTTTTTGGCATTCCCAAGGAACTACAAAGCAGATTGGCACTGTGGAAATAGAACACATTACCTGAATGTTCCTGCTAGAGCTACGAGAAGGATGCAAGTCCCTTCTCAGCTCTAAGAAGCTCAGATGAAAGGATCTGTTCTCATACCTCCAGTTCTAGGGAGAAACACAACCTGCATTTTCCATCTTTTCTTTGTGAACCGTAAAAGTAAAAATCAGTTGTAAACTAAACTTCAGTTTTTCAACCGCAACTCTGTGCTAAGGGCTGAAATCTCAACCTGGGGAATCAAGGCTCCTACTGCAGAAGCTGCTCCTTCTTCTCCGTGCAGGACTAGTTATCACTGTAACTACCAACCCCCCCCCAGCTCAAAGAGAAGAGCCTCGCATGATTCCAGGGCAGTCAGCAAACCGATACCTGCACCAGAGAGTAATGCATTCACACTGCTTTTTTCACAGAATCAGAGAACAGTTTTGGCTGGAAGAGACCTTGAAGATCATCGAGTCCAGCCTTTGTCCCAGCCCTGTCGCCCCACTAAACGATTCCCCCCAGTGCAACACCCACCCGTCTCTGAAACCCCTCCAGGGACGGTGACTCCAGCCCCTCCCTGGGCAGCCTGTTCCGATGGCTGACAACCCTTTCAGCAAAGAAATTCTTCCCGATATCCAACCTGAACCTCCCCTGGCGCAATTTAAACCCATTTCCCCTGGTCCTGTCACTCTCCACTGGGGAGAACAGACCAACCCCGCCTCGCTACAGCCTCCCTTCAGGCAGCTGCAGAGAGCCAGGAGGTCTCCCCTCCATCTCCTCTCCTCCAGCTGAACAGCCCCAGCTCCCTCAGCCGTTCCTCACAAGACTTGTGTTCTGAGCCCTTTCCCAGCTCGGCAGCCCAGCTCTGTGCACTCTCCAGCACCTCAATGTCCCTCCTGTAGTGAGGGGCCCAAAACTGGACACAGCGCTCCAGGTGTGTTAAAATTTTAAGCATGTTGTGTCATATGCAGAGCACGTGGTTGAAGCTTAATGTCACAACACAAGTGAAAAATACGGGGAAGTGCAGTGGTGCTGGCAAGCCGCAGGCAGAACGCTTCTGAGCGCCCTGCTCTGTCACAGCTTCAACCACACCTGTGAGGAACACAGCTGCCACCTCCTTACCTGCTCCCTGCCCAGAAAGGTATCGGATAACAGAGCAACCAGTAATTTTTTCTTGATTGCACTTTCACTGTCAGCGATAAGTAACATTTTCTCTCTCTGATTAATCAAAGGTCACAGGAACTAAATCCGCATTTCAAAATAGAAACAACATAGTGACATTTTAGCAGCTTTCGGAAATGGAAACTTCGGTATGTTATTTAATGAAAGTTTAATACTTACTATCCCAGAGCTTTATTTCAAAACCGTCCAGAGTCTCTGTTATCCTGAGTATGTGAATATATACTGTGTTAAAGTGTGCAAAATTAAATGATACCACGGGACAACTGCCATGCAACTTCATCCTGGCAATAAACCATAAACAGAAATCTGCAGCTGCACTAATGGGAAGAGCCAGCTCCCCTTTGGTGTATTTCAAGCCATCTTATTTTAAATGTTGGACCTTCCTGGGATACCTGCCATGCATTGAGGATGAACTGTCCTTTGCAAATGCCTTTTTTTACCCGTTGTCCAGACAGGAATCAGGGAAACTAACCCACATAGAGATCTTCAGGTATTGACATTTAAACAAATGAATCTCATTCTAGTCACACACACACAAAATTTAAAAATTCAGAATCAAACAACTGACATGCACCTTAGAACTCTCAAGCCTTGCTGTACTGCTTTAGAGTCCTGGCACAAATTTTCTTAGCAGTAACTGAAAATTCACTCACGTATCACTGATGAAAATGTTGACCAGCGTCGGGTCTGCCACTGATAGCAGCAACAACTCCTCAGAAACACCAACCCTCCTACTGAGACCCATATTGCAAGTTTGTTTTTCAAGTCTAATTCATGTATCTGCTTTACTGGTGCCAGGAGCTAATATTTGACTCCAGATGTCAAGCAGCTGCAACTGTTGCATAGTTGCTCTATGCTGCATTTATTAAGTAACCTCTCTATCACACTTGTACTTTCCTCAAAGAATGGAATCAGGGATGTTTGACTAAACCTGTTTTCCATGGGCTGCCACAATATGTACTCACTAACATCTTCTAGCTCAGCCTCCCCTTGACTGTAGCTCCCAAAAATCTGCATTTCTCTCTGCTCCCAGAGACTTCTTCAGCAAATTCTTCTCTGCAAGTCCCTGTCCTCACACCCTGCTATCCACAATCCCATCACATGGTACCATATCACCTTCAGCCCCTTGGTTTTCTCCCATAATCTCCCTGCTTCCTTTTCTCTCTTTTCCTTGAGACCACATCTTTGTGGCACATGTTGTAAAACAAAGTTCAGCTGGGGATGAAGTCTCCCCTAAGCAGATCCAAACCTTTCTTCCCTACCCTCTATATATGGAGAAAAAAAAAAGTGCATAAATACTTTTTACCTTTCCTTGATGCTCCATGTCCTTTGCATTCTTCCCCTCTATTTGCACTGGCTGCTCTTAATGGACAAACCTTGGGTACAGCAATTCCCTGGTTTTCCCTTTCCAGCGCTCCTCGGTATCGGAGACACAGTGAGGGATGGAGCAGCAGTGAGATCACAGAGGTTTGGTTAACCTAACTTGTGCAAATCTCTTGCCACTGGGACAGTCATCTGGTACTTGGCCATGGATCAAGGGCTTTAAACGGTTCCCCCGTTCAGCTACGGCAGGAATCCAGCCCACCAGCTGCAAGAACTTTGGGGGTTACCTGTCTGCAGCTGTAAAATACTCACTAGACTCAAGCTCCGTGTAAATGGACGAGTGGATAGTGTTGCTCACCGTAGATTTTCTGAATTCCTTGGAGGTCATCCTGCGGCAGTTTGAAGTTGTGCGTCTCCATGTACTGGTAGAAAGGAGCCATGATAGCACTGGGATCATTGGAGTGCTCCAGACCCAGCGCGTGTCCCAGCTCGTGGACTGCCACCAGAAAGAGGTCGTTCCCTGCGGAAGGAAGGGACAGCCAGGTGAGAACACAGCCACAGCCTGAGACAATCCCACGGCACGCACACTCATCAAGCAAGGAGCAAATGCTTTGCTATCCTATTGCACAGCAGGCTACAGCGCCAGGGTCAGCTCCTGGAGATAGTTCTAGTCCTCAAAGCCTGGGCAGCTTTCACAGTCGTCACAGAATGGGCAGGAGGCTTCTAGCCCATGTCTACCCATGATCAAAACCACCTTCAGAACAAGGTAAAATGGGCAGTTGCCTGGAGTGAAAGGATTCTAACTGTAGACTCTTTTATAGAGAGTTTACAGAACACGGCCAACAAAAGAGACTGCGCTGATACCATCGCCTCTTCATCTGAGTGCTGCCAGGAGAGGCGAGAGCACTGTCAGTCTGCTCGTCAACAAGGCTACACGGTGGGAAGGGAGCTCTGTCCCCCTTCCAGGTCCTCCAGTGCCATGCTCTGACCCGGGCCACCAAATCCTAGCATAGATCTGTAAAGCACCTGGCAAGGCAGGAGGAAAGACAGAGAAGACCGAGCCTAACACCCACCACAGCACGTGTAGTACCTGGGACAACCCCAGCCTATCTAGCACAGGCTCCTCAACGCGCTTTTACTTCACTCCTGGCACTGCCATGGCTGCGGGAGACGAGCACAGGCAGCACTATCCTGCAGGAGGCAGAGCCACTTAGGGAAAGGTTGGGTTGGGTCCCAATGACAGGAGGTAGAAGAGGAAGGAGGAAAGAAAGAACACGCTCCTGACAGGAAAAGAAAGGGCTGAGGAGCCGTCCGGTCCAGAAGTTGTAGGAGTGTGAAGCAGGGGTACCTTCAACTCTGTCACAGGCACACACTCCTCTTCAGTCCCATGGATCTGGGACGCTCATCTCCTTGATCTAGTGTGGTCCCTGGATGTCCTACTCCGTGAGGGCACCTTGACATGGGAGGTGACACAGGCAACGCTGTGTGAGGGATGAAGACACAGCCAATGATGACAGAGGAAAGAGTCTCTCTATTCCCCGTGCCTGAATCAGGCTTCTCTGATTTTTTTTTTGGCAAGGCACAAACCAAGAGCACTTGCAATCAGACGCAGGAGAAAACAGTTGGCAGTGGCCAACTCTTGCAGCATCTCCAAAGGGCGTTATCTCCGTTCCCTACATGTCCAAACTGCACCGATCTTAGAGGCTTTGTGTACACAGTTGAGCCCTCCTTGGGACAGGAGTTGCAACAGTGATTCATGTAGAACTATCTCCACTTTTTCAATACTTATTGCTTTACTTTTACCCATAAAACCATGACAAGGCAGCTTCAGAGGTCTGCAAGTCTTCACAGCAGGCTGTTTTGCCAGCATCTCAATATATGTCAAGTCGGTAACAATCACTGCTCAACTGGTCACACACACCACACCAAAATGGTTAAATTGTCTGAACATTTGAGTTGGAGTGTGTAAGCATCTGAATATGCAAGACTTGTTAAAATATACAAATGCTTTTCAAATACAAACGTCCAAAACTATATGTGGGCTAAAATTTAGCCATATATGTATTTAAAATTCCAGAATTTCTGTATTGAGGAAATGCAAATAGGGATTTACTTATTAATTTATTCCTCATCCATTGCTGAAAAATCTGGTATGTGCAAAATGAGTCAATAAATGTACAATAACATAGTATAAAACACATTAAGCAGTTTCATGGTCAAGTTCTCTCCTTCCAGCATGCCCACGTCCTCTGCTTTCTCCACCCTGCTACATTCTATAAAAGGGTTCCAAGGCTGAAAGCAGCTAAGGCTTGGAGGGTAAGTGGCCAGGATTTATTTTGTGGGAAGTGGAGGCAGCAGAAAAAAATTCTAAGTCCATTTTGTGAGCACAGAGTGCTCAAAACCCCAGCTTCGGATTCATCACCCCGTTCCTCTTCAGGGGTCAGCTTATATCAATGACACTGTTCAGAAGAAGTTGCCTTTATCTTTGTAAGAGAACTCACTGTTTGTTTCCTTGTCACAGGGTGGGCCAGGATTTCTGAAATGAAAACATCAAGGTGTAAAACTATTTCCTGAAAGTGTCCTTATCTCCTCCCACAGCCCTTAGCTCGGAGCTGTGACGGCTCTTTGTGTGCTGGTGCCCACCGCTCTTTGGAAACCGTCCACTCAGCTGATCTGCAAAAGTCTTGAAAGGAGCCTGTGCCCCTCCAACTGTTTCCATTAGTTCTTGAACATGCAGTGAAGTCTCTGACCTTCATGTTCTCCACAGTTCTGGTGTGAACAGCACTCCGTCTTCTGGGAGCAAGATTCAGAAAGGAGAGCTAACAGCCTGGCTTGATACTTTGCTACTCACACAGAAACAAGGTCAGGCAATTAGATACAACTCTGATTTCCTGCTCAACTCTCTCCTCCAAGACCGATTAAGAAGTAAAATTTTGATTCAGTGTATACCAGCCACCTGGGTAAGACAGCAGGGTGAAAATGGAATTGATCACTTCTGCTTCATGTTTGCAGTGAAAAGTCCCAAGAAAACCCAACCCTTTTGGCTCATTTGCACCATCTGTACAAAATAAACAGGTCTGGTCAGAGACCTGCCTGAGCTTTCTCCTTCCAGAGTCTCAAGAGGCATCCAAAAGTCCACTGGTAAGCACCAGAGAGAGGACAACCCTCTAAAACTGGGGGTAGTTTTGAAGGTTGGTTCACTGAGCAAAATAGTTTGACCTGCTATGCTCAAACATAAAGAAACAAGGTTTCCAGCTGCTGATGTGTTTTCCTTACCAAAATGTTATCACCAGAGAAAGTGATAACAGAGGTCACACCTGTAACAGTACAAAATCATCACCCATTATTAGGATGCCAAACCATCTGATTTATGTATGATCCTCCTTCCAGTCACATAATCCATCATTCGTGCTTCTTCAATTTTCACCTTTAGCTGGAAAAACGGCTGTAAAGTCAGGTAACAGACATCTCGAGAAAGGTTTTTCTCTGTGAAACTGTTACACGTGCCTTCTCGTATGGTTTCATCCATTTTAATTATGAAAATCCAGATCAAAACCTTTTGTTTATTCAGCAAAGTAACTCACTGCATAATACAGTATCCAACTGCTGTAAGGCAGTAACAACACCCATTTAACTCCCTGTTTACAGCGATCCTGTTTACGGGGATACTACGATAGCAATGTTGTGGTATTACTATCAGTATTTATCCCTGAGCTGTATACACAGTTGTAATGAGTGTAGGCAGACTCAGCAGAGCACCCAGCACAGTGGAGCGTAAATCCAGGAGAGAGCTTCTAAGACAACAGAAGCACAAATAATATTGTACGTCTGCTTAATAACAGAAAAGCAGCTGTGAATCTCTGATCTTTGTCATGTTAGTTTTATACTTTAGGAACTGTATCATCATGTTAACATATCTACATACTGCAGCTTCCTCAGACATAATTAAAAAGACAGATGAAGGTTAAATTTTGAAATTTTATTAAAGCAAGAAAGATACTGAAGAAGTCAGATCACTGGTTGTGACAATAACATGCCTAGGGTAATTACAAAAAGATAGTGCGAACTAAACATGTTTTAAATACACTAAAATGACCCCTTCCGCTGTAGAGACAACTGTTTTCCAAGCACAACTTAAAGAAGCTTTAGGGCCACTCTAAGCTATGCCTTGGATCTTGCATCTTCAGACCTGGTAGGTCTGACTCCTCCATTCACCTCCACAACAGGCTCTGCTCAAGAAAATCTTTCTGATCTTCTGAAGACCCTGAAGAAGTGGTGATACTGCTCTTCCGTTTGATTGCATCAGATGAGATGTGGAAAACCGCTTTTGTATCTAGAAAGGAAGAAAATACGTTAGCTCAGTGGTTTGAGCGCGGTGCTGGCAACGAGGACCAACACCGAGGTTGCGGGTTCGATTCCCGCTCGGTCCCCACGTGCTGCCTGGTCTAGTTGAGAGGTGACGTCCCTGCCCACGACAGGTAGGTTGGATTAAATGATCTCTAAGGTCCCTTCCAGCCTAGGCCATTCTAGGATTCTATGATTATGATTCTATGAAAAAGAAACACGGGTTTCATTTTGCTCATGAACTATTATCTTTGTAAACGTAGTGATGAATATGGTCGATCTAAAGGACTTCATGACAACTCTTTAAGAGTGTCTTTAAACAGCTTCACTAGAGAAAGAAGAACAAGCGATAGAATCATTCTTAACAGACCACAGCCATGTGATCAGACTGATCTCCATGAGCTCAACTAACCCCAGAAGGACAAAAACCTGCATTAGGTTACCAACCATCGCAAAAGACGCGTAGTTTGCCTTATTGTGCCTGAAAGGCAAGTGTGCAAATCAGGTCTGTTAGTTGCGGTACAGACCTGACCAGCACTGCAAGCTGTGCTGCACCTGACGCAGCAGAGAAGCGGACAACCTCCTGCAGGAATTCACAGGACAAATAAGATATTTTTCTAGAATGATGGGATCAAAACTGAGTGAGTGATGTGGAGGCAAGAGCAGGCAGCCAGAGAGAGGGAAGGTCGTGACTGTTTCAGTAGGTTCAGTAGCCTGACACTCAGTGGAATAAAAGTGTTCTGCCAAAAAAACTTTCCCTAGTGTAGGTCATAATTCAATAAGCAATTCGATACCAAAGAATTACCAATCCCAAAATGAAAACTCATATTTGCCTATATTAGCATTCCATTCCCTACAGAGCGGGTGGTAAGGAAAAGAAAAATACTCATAAAAACATGGAAAATGTAGATACAATTTTAATACCATCTGCCTTGAAAAGCAGCTCTGCTGATGGCTTTATATTTTAAAAGTATTTAAATGCAGCAGGGTCTACAGACAGAATTTAGTACTTGACTCAACTTTGGAACAACTAGAAGGTAACTATAAAACCAAAACAGAACTCCCAAGTTTGCCACTTGGTTGTGATGTCAAAATCTAGAGTACTGGGGATCATTACACTGCTGATGCTGCAAACAACCTCTGACTGTAATGACCAGCAAACTATTTTCAAGAATG